ACATCACAGACGAATATTTTATCAAGATTAAAGTAGAATTGAAAACAAGCTGAGAAAAACTCTTTGAATAATGTGTGTTCCATGGCTAGAAAAAAAACCTTTATTATATTCACATTTCTCTGAGACAAGTTGGATGGGGATATTAAAATTCGTTCTTTTTCTGTTGGTTCAGATTTCGATGTATTCATGACATTTTGCAGGTAGAAGAAAAAGAGCATGGAGATATTCATTGATTTTTTCGCAGGTAATATCTGTTTTTTTTAATTCCAAATACATTTGGTTATAGTCGGCAAAATGGCATAAAGAGACATTTTTCGGATGATTGTTGAGTTGGGAAGTATTCAGAGTAAATAGTATCGGGTTTGATATCGCAAACATTGTGGTACGTATTGTCTTACATTAGCGAGAAATGAACATTCATAATTGATAATAATAACGATAAGAGTTTTGTAGAATGTTATAAGAAGCATACATAATTCAGAATAGCAATTAGTAAGTCATGATTAATTCGATTGAAGAAATGTGTAGTCCATGACTACAAGTATGCACATTTTCATATTATGTAGTCATAAGCAGGGGCCATCGAAGACTTCCAGAAAGGCAGTAGTAGGTATAGCTATGATTTAAATGGAAACCAAAAAATGTATAGAGCATAGATGTTTCTGAATCATACTTCTTAAGTATCTAATATTCATAACTCATGTAATAAAACACTTTATTGTGAAATTTTCACTAAACAGTTTTACAAAAACGCATACAATAGCTTCTTCTGACGTGTCTTTATTTTACTTCACTTAAGTATCGGAATCACGTTCATACGCTTCTATAAACTAGAGCAGGTAGTTATTTTTCCAATACTCTAAAACATGAATGATGACGGGCAAAAGTTATAGACAGAGAAATTCAATATTTTTTTTAATTTCTGATGCCAGGAAATTCAAACTTGGCACACAACCGTGAAACGTCTATGAAAAAATGTGAAACTTCCTATACGCTGTTACATTTGTCGAGTCCTCATCCTTTCAATCCTTACAAAAGTTTTTTTCAAGTCAATAACTACTTTTCCTAAAAACTAAAACAGATGGCACATTCTCTGTGCAATTTTTGTGTTTTAATCGAGTTTGAGAGTCTACACTTTGATGGTTGATTTAATTGAATAGGTAGAAAGGAGTACATGTTTACTTTTTTAGGCAAAAATACCATGAAATTGGTATTTTTGATGTTTAGGGATAAACCATAATTTGAACAGTAATCATGAAGTAGGCCTTGATATTTAGCACACACTATATATTCCTACCATGTTGCGTGTTTCTAAAGATAGTAGTATCATCTGCATATACCTAATATTTGAAGATCAGAATTTTTTTTTGTGCAAGTAGAATCGTTTACAAATACTATAAATGAAAGTGGACCAAGAACTGATTTATGTAGGTCTTCCTGAGATCCGAAGTGAATATCAGATCTGTTATTGTTGAGAACTACAACTTGTCTTCTTCCTTCAAGATATGAAATTAGCCAATTTGCAACTATTTCTCTTACTCCAACTCTTTCCAGTTCATCCAACAATAGTTAATGATCAATGCTGCTCGACTCAAGTCAAAATATAAAGCAATTGGATTTTTCTTTTCATTAGGTATGTTGTTAATGATGTTATTAG